GTGTACCACATTTTGTCTCATTCATCATCTGTCAGTGGGCATTGGGATCGTTTTTACCTGTTGGCTATTGTGAATAATGCCGCTATGAATGTGGTGTGCAAATATCTGTTTGAGTTCCTGCTTTCAATTCTTTGGGGTATATATATGCCCAGAAGTGGAATTGCAGGGTCTTTTGGTAGTTCTGTGTCTGATCTGTGGAGTCAGCAGTTTTTTTAAATTTATTTTGCGGTACGTGGGCCTCTCACTGCTTGCGGCCTCTCCCGTTGCGGAGCACAGGCTCTGGACGCGCAGGCTCAGCAGCCATGGCTCACGGTCCCAGCTGCTCCGCGGCACGAACCCGTGTCCCCTGCGTCGGCAGGTGGACTCTTAACCACTGCGCCACCAGGGAAGCCCCGAGTCAGCAGTTTTAAAGCACCCTATGTGGTTCCAAGGTCCAGTCAGAATTGCAGCCGTGTGAGCTGACCTTCAGAAATCGGAATCACTTGGAGAGATTTAACAACTCGGGATGCCTTAGCCACACCCCAGGACAACCTCACCTCTCAGATGGGACCCAGGTACCTGTATTGTTTTTAAAGTCCCCCAGTGATTCCAGTGTATGGCCAAGTTAGAGAACCATTGGTTTATACCAGTGATTCTAAAATGTGGGTGTGTACAAAATTTGCATACTTGTTAAGAGTACAGACCCCTGAGGCCCACCCCTAAGAGTCTCATTTAACTGGTCTATTGGAAGCCTGGGCTTCAGCGGGCTCGAGGCTCCCTGGTGGCTAATGTGTCGCCAGGATTGAGAACTTCCTTCTCCCGTTCAGTCTCTTGTTGAAACAGGAACCAGCTGAAGCTGCTGGAGGTGACACTATCCACTCGAGTCTCTGAGCCCTTTGGGACCTGAGTCCGCACTGGTCCCCAGGGATGATTCCCAAGCCAGTCCCATGGGTTCTCCAAACTCTATCACACAGGCACAGAGGGTAGACTCATATATAAAACCTCCTTTTTTTCTACTCTTAATTGGAACTGTTAGCCTTGAATGAGAGTTCAGTCAGCTCTGCTATAATGCTTGTTCTGAAATAATGAAGCTGTTCCAACACGATTGACATATTAAGGAACAATATTGATATATTAGGGAACATTAACATATTAGTGAACATGAAATTTGCATTTGCTTCTGTGCCATATCTTAAGTTTAAATGAAGAAAACTGTACCCAGCTGAACCGACCTACATATGAGGAAGGAAAAGACCTCAAAAATCTGCCAGTGACCTCGTTGCTCCGCCTGTGATTTGAGCCAACACCCATCCCCACCTGGTGTACAACCTCCCCTGATACCAAATAAACCCCTCCGACCAGCACCTCACAGTAGCTCCCGAGGCAGCAACGCTCAGGTCTTTTACAAGGTAAAGGAATATTTATTGTAGTGTGTATGTATTTCTTAACCGCCTAACACGTATAAGATGGTGCTACCGTTTTTATGAGGTTTTCTGGTGCCGCCGATGAAGGTTTTGAGTGCTATACGCCGTCCTCTTTTTTCCCAGAAGCCCTGTGGTTTTATTGTGTGATTCTGCGTAGCTGAGTGATTTTTAGGAAGGAATGCCTATGTCGCCTGATGGCAGAACTAACAGTGTGAGTACCTGCTCACCATCTTTTCAATAATGGTTTAGGAGCGCGCTGTCGGGTTCCTCTACCTGCTGCCTCAGAGAACTCACTCCAGCCACCACTAGATGGCGCCCTCCTCCGCAGGGTCAGAAGCTGCTGTCAGCGACCTGCATTCAGGGGTTTGGGGTTTTAGGTCATTTGATCTTCTCTCTTGGGTCCCCAAAGTCCATAGCTGCTGCCCCCCTGGTCTGTCTCACTGCCTACACTTCACTCTGGCTCACTCATCTTTCTGAGGTCTGGTCGGGTCTGAAATAACTTCATCGCCTGGTTCTCATCTTTGAATTAGATTTGCCCTGTATCAGTGCTCATTCATATTTATTTCAACGCGTTTTAGCTCCTGGCTCTCATCAGGACACCCCTGCGTGGGTGGTCCCTCCCCCCAGCTTCTGTCTTCATGAATAACCCCTCCAGACTCCTGTCAGCTCAGCTCACCTGGCCCCTCTGCTCACTTGTCCTGGCACCTGACCCAGAGAAGTCTGCTTCAGAGATGAAGATGTACCTGTTTCACACCTTGCTGTATTTCATAAGAAAATAGGTCTGCACGATATCTTTGTAATATGACATAAGCCCAAATAATTTTCTTTAAAATCTGTTTGTTCAGCTGGCCTTATCTACCTTACGGTTTAATTTTATTTATTTTTAATTTATTTTTTATTTTTGCGGTATGCGGGCCTCTCACTGCTGTGGCCTCTCCCGTTGCGGACGCGCAGGCTCAGTGGCCATGGCTCACAGGCCCAGCCACTCTGCGGCACGTGGGATGCTCCCGGACCGGGGCACAAGCCCGCGTCCCCTGCATCGGCAGGCGGACTCTCAACCACTGTGCCACCAGGGAAGCCCTAATTTTAGCTTCCCTATTATGGACTTGAAAATTCAGTATCTTGAATATGTATTGTTTGGGGCTTTCTTTCACCTGTTATTACTACAAATTCAAGGTCAAGCCGCCCAGTACAGTGTAGGCATTTGGAGGCCAGCCCTGAGTGGTCTGTAAAAAGACAGAATTGAAACTAGACATCTTAACTCTGTTATTCTGAGCTGGTGTTCTCACTTCCATGTCTCTGCAGGGATTTTCCTGTCAGATTACATAAGAAGAGAATTCATTCTGATGTTTGGATAAAACAACAGCTGCAAAACTGTCAGCAGCTTGGGGGCCAAGCTAGTTCTTTCCTGCAAATACGAGTTCAATATCAGAACACATTTATCTTGCAGTCACTTGAAATCCTCATTTGTGAAATCAAAGTCTCTATTCTCTTTTCTTCTAGAACAGAGGTTGGCAAACTACAGTATTTGGACGGCAAAGCCTAAAATATTTACCATCTGGCCCTTTACAGAAAAAGTTTTCCAAGCCCCGTTCTAGAACATAAAACGTGGTGGTTGTTATATGTAGACTAAGGGTTCTCATCATGAGGTTGAAAGGGGTAGCCTTCAGGAGGTCAGTGAACCCTCTGAAATCGGGTGCAAGTTTTGGTTTATGATGCAAACGTGCATTTTTGGAGAGCAAAAGGGCAGGCTTGGTCTATTGTGTTTACCACTGTATCTCCTCTTCCTAAAACAGTGCCAGATACATAGATGCTCAGCAGATATCAATTGAATAAGTTATTGAGGAGGGGGATGCTGAAGAGACAGGCGAGAGCTGGGTGAAGGAAGTCTTTGCAGGATTTTATTCCCAGAGCAGTGGGAGGAGAAGGGAGGGTTCTGTGCAGAGAGGCCTGGTATCACCTGGGTTATGTTTCTAGAAGAACACCCTGGCTGCTGTTTGGAAAATGGAGAGTCAGCCCAGATATAAGAGAGACCAGTAAGAAGTCTCAAGTCTAGCCCCATCAAGAGATGGCGGCTTGAACCGAGTAGACTCGGAAGGTGAAACTGACAGGACTTGCTGAAGTGTGGATGACGTTTCAGAGAACAGAGGTGACCCTGCTGTGTTATCCTGAGCCTCTGGGTGGAAATGGTGGAGAAATTAAGAGCCGTGATAAACATTCTCAGCGAGTTTTTTCTAATGATTATTAAATGCCTGGTTGTTGGTTTGTTTTTAATAGTAGGTTATATTTAATTTCTACCAACAGGAAATTGTTTAATTGCAAATATGAAATGGCAATAGTTGTATCTCACCTGACAGTATACATCAGTATACCACGCTGCCCTACCCTTAATGTGTAAATGCCTGCTTTTGATAATTTGGGTCAACTCAGAAGTCAATGTCTACTTCTGACTTGCTGTAAATTGTGTGTCGCAGCCTCAAAGGTGCTATGGAAACCCCACCACAAATTATCCCAACACAGCGAAACGTCTTCAGAGCTGGCAAGTGGTCCAGGGCCGGTGCCCCCTCTAGTACCATGACTGCTTCACTCTGTCTACCCTGATATTGAAACTGTGCCAGTGATGGTTTTATAAACAAGGGCCCTCTTCCTATTTCTGTCTTTTCTTTCCCCCTCATTCTCCTGCCCCCTGAGCCATGTAGGTCTTTCCTTACCCCGCAACAGACGCCTTCAGATATTACACGTAGAGCAAGTTGAATACTTCGCAGGCACCAAGGTGGAGGTGCCGTGCAGATGGGTAGAGGCGAAGCTCTCTGAGGGGTGGACCCTCGTGCACTTTCTCTGTACCCCTCACAGCTCCCAGCACAGCACTGGGAACATAACCAGACACACTCATTCAGTGCCGTTTGCTGCTGTGTGTGTGAAGCAAATGCTGAGCTCAGACAGTGAATTCACCTATTGGGCTTAGGCAAGGGAACTGTTTTTTGTTCAGTTGTACACTCATGGGGTCACACAAGTGCCAGGAGTGCAGGAGGTGCTTAATACATTTTTGTTCAACTGTTGACTCTTTGTGGAAAACGACGTACCCAGTTTTTATATTATGAGATGCACTGTGTAGGGAGTAAGGATGGATGAATGGAGATGACCTAGTATCCTTGACAGGTTAGAGGGGGAAGAAAATCAGTGGATTCATTTTCCACTCTTCAGCTGAGCCTGCCTTGGGCTAGGAATGGGGTCCCTGGCTGAGGTGAAATTAAAATGTATCTCCTCCTGCTGTTTTTTCCAACTTCCATCGGCAAATCTTGAATGAATGAAGGCACAGACTTAGGAATGAATGCAGAGTTATCATAAAGGTTAAATGAAATATTTCGAAAGTACTTAGAACCGTGCTCGCCATGTAGAAAAATGCAACATAAATGTTAGTGAGAAAAGCTCTGTCTACACCAGACAGTATCTGCCAACAGCTACAGCCTTGGATCCAGAGAATCAAAGGGTCTAAGAAACAGCCACATCACAGAGGAATCCCCCAAGCGCTGAGCACCCATGCGCAATGCCTTGAGCTTAGATTCCTGTGTTTTCACTCTTTCGTCTTCTCCATAGGATCATGGGAGACCACCTTGACCTTCTCTTAAGAATGGTGCTCATGGCCAGTCCCACGCTTGGAATTTCTTCCTGCTTCTTCGATGGCTGGAGAGCCTTATATCGTTTCCGCAACCTCACCCAAGTCCCCCAGGTCCCCAACACCACCAAGAGTCTCCTGCTCAGCTTCAACTACATCAGGACAGTCACAACCGCATCCCTCCCCTTCCTGGAGCAGCTGCAGCTGCTGGAGCTCGGGACTCAGTTTACCCCCTTGACCATTGACAAAGAAGCCTTCCAAAACCTGCCCAATCTCAGAATCTTGGACCTGGGCAAAAGTCAGATAGACTTCTTGCACCCAGATGCTTTTCAGGAACTGCCCCATCTCTCCGAACTTCGACTGTTTTACTGTGGTCTCTCCGGTGCTGTATTAAAAGATGGTTATTTCAGAAATTTGGGGTCTTTGACTCACTTGGACCTATCCAAAAATCAGATTCAAAGTCTTTACCTTCATCATTCATTCCTGGAATTGAATTCTTGAAGCCCATCGATCTTTCCCTCAACCAAATAACCATTGTTTGTGAGCACGAGCTCAAACCCCTCCAAGGAAAAACACTCTCCTTTTTAAGCCTTGCTGATAACAACCTGTACAACAGGGTCTCAATGGACTGGCGGAAGTGTCTGAACCCATTCAGAAACATGGTCCTGGAAACCCTAGATGTTTCTGGCGATGGCTGGGCAGTGGACATCACAAGAAACTTCAACAATGCCATCAATGGAAGCTAGATTTTCTCTTTGGTTCTTACCCATCACGTGATGGGTTCTGGGTTTGGCTTCACTAACATGAAAGACCCGGACCAGCACACCTTTGCCGGCCTGGCCAGAAGCTCAGTGATACAGCTGGACCTTTCACATGGGTTTATCTTCTCCCTGGACTTCCAACTCTTTGAGACGCTCAAGGAGTTGAAGGTTCTGAACGTCGCCTACAACAAGATAAACAATATTGCAGACAAAGCATTTTATGGACTCGACAACCTCCAAGTTCTCAATATATCACATAACCTTCTGGGGCAATTGTATAATTCTGATTTCTATGGGCTACCTAAGGTAGCCTATATTGATCTGCAAAAGAATCACATCCGGATCATTCAGGACCAAACATTCAGATTCCTGGAAAACTTAAACACCTTGGATCTCCGGAACAATGCTCTTAAAACTATTTATTTTCTTCCAAGCATACCTAATATCTTCTTGAGTGGCAATAAACTGGCTACTTTGCCAAACATCGCACTTACAGCTAACTTCATCACCTTATCAGAGAATAGGCTGGAAAATCTGGATAATCTCTACTTCCTTCTCCAGGTACCTCATCTCCAGATTCTCATTTTAAATCAAAATCGCTTTTCCTTTTGTAACCAAGACCATGCCCCTTCAGAGAACCTCAGCTTAGAAGAGCTTCTCCTTGAAGAAAATATGTTGCAGCTTGCCTGGGGAGCCGGGTTCTGCTGGGGTGTTTTTAAGGGGCTTTCCCATCTCTGAGTCCTGTATTTGAATAAAAACTACCTGAATTTCCTTCCACCAGGAGTATTTCGTCATCTGACTGCACTGAGGGGACTCAGCCTCAGGGACAACAGGCTGACCGTTCTTTTTCCTGGCGACTTACCTGCTAATTTAGAGGTCCTGGATATATCCAGAAACCAGCTCCTCTCTCCTGATCCTGATTTATTTGCATCGCTGAGTGCTGTGGACATAACTCATAACAAGTTCATCTGTGAGTGTGAACTTAGCGCTTTTATCAGTTGGCTCAATCAAACCAACGTCACAATATTTGGCTCTCCGGCAGACATATACTGCATGTACCCGAGCTCCATGGCTGGGGCTTCCCTCTACTCTCTTTCCACGGAAGATTGTGATGAAGACGAAGTTTTAAAGTCCCTAAAGTTTTCCCTTTTCACCTTCCTCGCTGTCACTTTGACTCTGTTCCTCGTGGCCATCCTCATCGTTACGAAGTCTCGGGGGTTTTGTTTCATCTGTTATAAGAAAACCCAGAGACTGGTGTTCAAAGACCCCATCAAGGGAAGAGAATAAGACGTACAAATACGATGCCTATTTGCGCTTCAGTAGCAAAGACTTTGAATGGGTGCAGAATGCTTTGCTCAAACACCTGGATGCCCAGTACAGCGACCGAAACAGATTTAACCTGTGCTTTGAAGAGAGAGACTTTTTGCCCGGGGAAAACCACATCGCCAACATCCAGGATGCCCTGTGGAGCAGCAGAAAGGTTGTCTGTCTCGTGAGCAGACACTTCCTTAGAGACGGGTGGTGCCTCGAAGCCTTCAGTTACGCCCAGAGCTGGTGCTTAGCTGACCTCAGTGGCGCCCTCATCATGGTGGTGGTGGGGTCCCTGTCCCAGTACCAGCTGATGAAACATCGCTCCATCCGAGGATTCGTCCAGAAACAGCAGTATTTGAGGTGGCCTGAGGATCTCCAGGATGTTGGCTGGTTTCTCAACAAGCTCTCTCAGCTCATTCTAAAGAAAGAAAAGGAAAGGAAGATAGACAATGACATTCAGTCGCAAAGTGTAACCACCATTTCTTAGTCAAGGGAGCACTTTTCCACTTATCTCAAGCCACAAGCAACTCTTCCCTTTTTATTTCCACTAAGTTACCACTTGGGGTCCTTTATGAAGTTGTTGTTTTCCTACGATGAGAACCACATAAATCTCTTGATTTTCATAGCAACACGACGTTGTTTCACTGATCTCCAAATGCAAAGTAATAGATCTAGAAAATTGCAACTGCCCGCAACGGTTCCCACTCTCCATCGATTTCCTTTCAGACCCGGTGACACTGTTCTCTCCTGTTGCATCGACTACGGGATATATCCTAGTCGTGGGAAGGGCACCTTGGGAGAAGTTACAGATGGCCGACACCCTTTCTCCAGTGTTCAGTTCCAGAAGGGGCTGCTCGGTGATTCTGAGGGCTCTGTACATGGCAGAACAACATTAAGTAGAAAACAGAGACAAAGAGGTGTGCTTCCTACTATATCCATGGGAACAGTGCCACTGCTCAGTGCCGGTCACTCTCAGTCTCAAGGATAAGAGGTGGCTCCAAAGAAGCTGGGATGAGAATAACTAGATCTCTTAGGGCCATATTGCTCCTCTTCTTCTCACCTTTTGGGTCTAACCCTAGTGGGCCGTGAATATTCTTTTTGGCTTGCAACCTTTCTTTTGGGCTGGCTTTCAAGAACCTCCGTGATTTAGCAACAACCTATTTCAGCTTTATTTTCCCCCATATCTCATTTATCAAACACCCAGTCTGTTGCAGAAAGAACTTGTACTTGGACCAAGAACCTGGTTTGAGTTCGGATTCTGCTGCTCATGAGCTGTGTGACCTCGAGCACGTTACACACCCTCGCTGGGCCTGTTTTCTTATCTGTAGGCGTGATTGCCTCTACCTCACAGAGGTGCCATAAAAGTTAAATCAACCAGGGATGTCAGGGCATCTCCGATCTTATCCCTTCTTTTTCTTTTCTTTCTTTTCACATCTTTATTGCAGTATAATTGCTTTACAGTGTTGTGTTAGTTTCTACTGTATGACAAAGTGAATCAGCTATATGCATACGTATATCCCCAAATCCCCTCCTTCTTGCGCCTCCCTCCCACCCTCTGTATCCCACCTCTCTAGGTGGTTGCAAAGCACTGAGCTGATCTCCCTGTGCTATGCAGCTGCTTCCCACTAGCTATCTATTTTACATTTGGTAGTGTATATATGCCCATGTTACTCTCTCACTTTGTCCCAGCTTCCCCTTCCCCTTCCCAGGGCCTCAAGTCGATTCTCTACGTCTGTGTCTTTATTTCTGTCCTGCCCCTAGGCTCATCAGAACCATTTTTTTTTTTTTTTAGATTCCATATAGATGTGTTAACATGCAGTATTTGTTTTTCTCTTTCTGACTTACTTCACTCTGTATGACAGACTCTAGGTCCATCCACCTCACTACAAATAACTCAATTTCCTTTCTTTTTATGGCTGAGTAATATTCCATTGTATATATGTGCCACATCTTCTTTATCCATTCATCTGTTGATGGACACTTAGGTTGCTTCCATGTCCTGGCTGTTGTAAACAGAGCTGCAATGAACATTGTGGTACATGACTCTTTTTGAATTATGGTTTTCTCAGGGTGTATGCCCAGTAGTGGGATTGCTGGGTCATATGGTAGTTCTATTTTTAGTTTTTTACAGAACCTCCATACTGTTCTCCATAGTGGCTGTATCAATTTACATTCCCACCAACAGTGCAAGAGGGTTCCCTTTTCTCTACACCCTCTCTAGCATTTATTGTTTGTAGATTTTTTGATGATGGCCATTCTGACTGGTGTGAGGTGATACCTCATTGTAGTTTTGATTTGCATTTCTCTAATGATTAGTGACACTGAGCATCTTTTCATGTGTTTGTTGGCCATCCGTATATCTTCTTTGGAGAGATGTCTATTTAGGTCTTCTGCCCATTTTTGGATTGGGTTTTTTTTTTGATATTGAACTGCACGAGCTGCTTGTATATTTTGGAGATTAATCCTTTGTCAGTTGCTTCATTTGCAAATATTTTCTCCCATTCTGAGGGTTGTCTTTTTGTCTTGTTTGTGGTTTCCTTTGCTGTGCAAAAGCTTTGAAGTTTCATTAGGTCCCACTTGTTTATTTTTGTTCTTATTTCCATTTCTCTAGGAGGTGGGTCAAAAAGGATCTTGCTGTGATTTATGTCATGGAGTGTTCTGCCTATGTTTTCCTCTAAGAGTTTGAAAGTGTCTGGCCTTACATTTAGGTCTTTAATCCATTTTGAGTTTATTTTTGTGTATGGTGTTAGGGAATGTTCTAATTTCATTCTTTTACATGGAGCTGTCCAGTTTTCCCAGCACCACTTATTGAAGAGGCTGCCTTTTCTCCATTGTATATTCTTGCCTCTTTTCTTTCCTTGTGCTAACTTTGGAGTTTTTTTGTTCTTCTTTCTCTAATTGCTTTAGGTGTAAGGTTAAGTTGTTTATTTGAGATGTTTCCTGTTTCTTAAGGTAGGCTTGGATTGCTATAAACTTCCCTCTTAGAACTGCTTTTGCTGCATCCCATAGGTTTTGGATCATCATGTTTTCGTTGTCATTTGTCTCTAGGTATTTTTTGATTTCCTCTTTGATTTCTTCAGTGTTCTCTTGGTTATTAAGTAGTGTATTGTCTACTCTCCATGTGTTTGTATTTTTTACAGATTTTTCCCTGTACTTGATATCTAGTCTCATAGCGTTGTGGTCAGAAAAGATACTTGATGTGATTTCAATTTTCTTAAATTTACCGAGGCTTGATTTGTGACCCAAGATATGATCTATCCTGGAGAATGTTCCATGAGCACTTGAGAAGAAAGTGTATTATGTTGTTTTTGGATGGAATGTCATATAAATATCAATTAAGTCCATCTTGTTTAATGTATCATTTAAAGCTTATGTTTCCTTATTTATTTTCATTTTGGATGATCTGTCCATTGGTGAAAGTGGAGTGTTAAAGTCCCCTACTATGATTGTGTTACTTTGATTTCCGTTGTGTTTCCTTATTTATTTTCATTTTGGATGATTTGTCTGTTGGGGAAAGTGGAGTGTGAAAGTCCCCTACTATGATTGTGTTACTGTTGATTCCCCCTTTTATGGCTGTTAGCATTTTTCTTTTGTATTGAGGTGCTCCTATGTCAGACGCATCATGTTTACAACTGTTATGTCTTCTTGGATCGATCCCTTGATCATTATGTAGTGTCCTTCTTTGTCTCTTGTACTAGTCTTTATTTTAATGTCTATTTTGTCTGACATGAGAATTGCTACTCCAGCTTTCTTTTGATTTCCATTTGCATGGAATATCTTTTTCCATCCCCTCACTTTCAGTCTGTATGTGTCTCTAGGTCTGAAGTGGGTCTCTTGTAGACAGCATACATATGGGTCTTGTTTCTGTATCCATTCAGCCAGTCTGTGTCTTTTGGTGGGAGCATTCAACCCATTTACATTTAAGGTAATTATCGATATGTATGTTCCTATTACCATTTTCTTAATTGTTTTGGGCTTGTTATTGTAGGTCTTTTCCTTCTCTAGTGTTTCCTGCCGAGAGAAGTTCCTTTAGCATTTGTTATAAAGCTGGTTTGGTGGTGCTGAATTCTCTTAGCTTTTGCTTGTCTGTAAAGGTTTTAATTTTTCTATCGAATCTGAATGAAATCCTTGCTGGGTAGCGTAATATTGGTTGTAGGTTTTTCCTTTTCATCACTTTAAATATGTCCCGTCACTCCCTTCTGGCTTGCAGAGTTTTTGCTGAAAAGATCAGCTGTTAACCTTATGGGGATTGCCTTGTATGTTATTTGTTATTTTTCCCTTGTTGCTTTTAATATTTTTTCTTTGTGTTTAATTTTTGATAGTTTGATTAACATGTGTCTGACATGTCTCTCTTTGGGTTTATCCTATATGGTACTCTCTGTGCTTCCTTGATTTCATTGACTATTTCCTTTCCCATGTTAGGGAAGTTTTTGACTATAATCTCTTCAGATATTTTCTCAGACCCTTTCTCTTCTGGGACCCCTATAATTTGAATGTTGGTGCATTTAACATTGTCCCAGAGGTGTCTGAGACTGTCCTCAATTCTTTTCATTCTTTTTTCTTTTTTCTGCTCCCTGGCAGTTATTTCCACGATTTTATCTTCCAGCTCACTTGTCCATTCTTCTGCTTCAGTTATTCTGCTATTGATTCCTTCTAGAGTATTTTTAATTTCAGTAATTGTGTTGTTCATCACTGTTTGCTTGCTCCCTAGTTTTACTAGATCCTTGTTAAATGTTTCTTGTATTTTCTCCATTCTGTTTCTGAGATTTTGTATCATCTTTACTATCATTACTCTGAATTCTTTTTCAGGTAGGTTGCCTATTTCATCTTCATTTATTTGGTCTTGTAGGTTTTTACCTTGCTCCTTCATCTATAACATATTTTTTTGTTATTTCATTTTATTTACTTAGTTGTTTGTTTGTTTGTTTTTATGGGTGATGCTGTATTCCTGTCTTACTGGCTGTTTCACCTGAGATGTCCAGCACTGGAGTTTGCAAGCAGTTGGATGGAGCTGGGTCTTGGTGCTGAGATGAGGACCTCCAGGCAGCCTCACTCCAGTTGATATTCCTTGGGGTCTGAGGTTCTCTGTTAGTCCAGCGGTTTGGACTTGGAGCTCCCACCACAGGAGCTGGCGCCTGACCTCTGGCCTGGGAACCAAGATCCCGCAAGCTTCATGGCACAGTTAAAAAAAAAAAGAAAGAAAGAAAGAAGCAGTACAATATCAAAGAATAAAAAACAAAATAAAATAAAAAATATATTAGGAACAATAAAACTATAATTGAAACAAAGTAAAATAAAACCACAATAGAAAAAGGAAAAAATAAAAGGGGGGTGGGGGGGGGCGGGGGAACAAGCCAAAAGGAGAGAACAATAACAAAGTAAAAAGAATAAAATAAAATGGAAAAATAAAAGATTTATTGGGAAAAATAAAAATATAAAAGAATCAACAGCAATGAATCAACAAGCTAAAACAGAACCCCAATCTAA